AAAAACCCATTCATATTTTTTGAGACCTGATTCATAACGCCATGGCCATCCAAATTACTCTACATTATCTACCTACAAAACACCATCATATACATACTTTCCCCAGAAGTTACACTTACAACAACGTCATTCGTGGCCTTGTCAGCAGCCCATGAGCTTTTCCTCTTCCTGAACTTATACAGGGTGTCCCAAAAGTAAGTACACACTTTTCAATCGTCAATATTTCTTTTCTCAGTAGGTCTTTTTCTGCCAGTCAAGTACCATTCTGTAGAGGAGGCTTCAACTTAGATTTACGATGTCGAACGAATCACCGATCGCTCTTCGTTACTGTAGGATTACGGTAATAACTTCCACCATGTGGAACCATTGTGAAATACGCTATCTGACAATTCTCTTTTCAAAAAGTCTGAAAAATTGTGTACTAGGGTATTTGCGCACGCTGATTCCATTACACAACTTTTTACGAGTGTTTTCAGCTTTTTTGACGGTGTAATCACATTTCTGACAAACACTGGGAATTCGGCTATTACGGTTCACCTGGGATAACTTTGGAAAGAAGCATCACAATAAAGCGGAAATTTCATATTCGAAATTAGCGGCTTCCATTACCATAGTATAAGAGTTTTGGGCTTGTTTGGTTTTGTTCCGAAGCAGAATACAGCTGCCAATAGGCCTAAAATCCTTGTCGAAGTTCCTACAGTATTCCTACAGTAATGAAGAGCGATCGGTGATTCGCTCGACACTGTGTATTTAAGTTGAAACCTCCTCTACAGAATGGTGTCCAAATGGCGGAAAAAGACACAATGGGAAGAGAGATATTAACGACTGAAAAGTGTGTACTTACTTTTGGGACACCCTGTATAAGAACTCTATAAGATTTATTCGGATACGACTCGAAAGTGAGAGCAAATTCAAGATTATTCTTGCCTTTTTCTCCCACCCCCGTTCTATATTTATTTGTCTGTCTGTATTTCCTTTGTGAGGTGGTGCATCGTTTACGATGTATTTGATAAATAAATAAATAAATAAATAAATACAGGGTGTCCGTAAAGTATGTATACACTGTTTGATCGTTAATATCTTTCTTCCCAACAAGTCTTTTGCCTTGCTTTATGTACCGTCTTGTAGAGCTGGCTTCATCTTAGATTTGCAGTATAGAAGGAATCACCCATCTCTCTTTATTACTGTAGGATTACGGTAGAAACTTCAAAGAGGGTTTTATGCCATAAAAGGCCATATTTTGCCTCAGCAAAGAAACAAAACAGCCTGAAAACTTTTACACTAGGTTAATTAGAGTTATTGATTCTAACTCTAAAGTTCACAACTTATTATGATGCTTCATTGAAGACTTATGCCGGGTAAGAGGTGGCGGCCATTTTTTCAATGTTCCTAAAAAGTGCGGTTACCCGCTTAGAAAGCTTCGCAATCTTTTGAATAGAAGAGTATTGAACTCAGCGTCCATAAAAACCCTATTACACAAATTTTCACATTTTTTTTGAAAATTTTTGAGACGGCAGCTCTTTCCACGTTGACACCATATGAAGTTTCTACCGTAATCCTACAGTAAGAAAGAGCTCGGTGATTCGCTCCATACTGTAAATCTAAGTTGAAGCCAGCTCTTAAAACGGTGCCTAAAGCAAGGCAAAAGACTTGTTGGGAAGAAACATATTAACGATCAAACAATGTATACATACTTTACGGACACCCTGTATTTTAGAACTTAGAGATTGATGCTGTGCATCCATTTTTTCAAACAATATTCGGAAAAAACAGACATTTTTCGTAGCAATAAATAAATAAATAAATAAATTTTCTGCCTACAGATCGATCGTCCCCTTTCAGATGCATCATAACAAACGGCTTTCAGCAAAGGTAAAAGGCATTTGCTGCCAAGCTGATTGTTACTTATTTCAAACCGCTTTCCCTGTGAAAACCACAAAATTTCGGAAAAGACTGCGTCTAAATCTCTACTTAAAAACATCAGTCTCTTTCTTAAGAGTTTTTCAGCGACCCCAAATACCGTGAACTTTTGAGCGCACTACCAAAATGTACCGGATTTTCTCGAGCCTTGTTTATTCGCAAAGATTTTAAACATTAAAAAATGTGCAGCAAACGCGCGCATACATCTTATGATTGTGGGAATGCGTTTATTTCATTAAGAGAAATCATGTTCGGCCTAGTGAAGCAATCGCGAAGCACAAGTGGTCATCATTTCAAATGCAAATCATCATGAAAAGCTCAAAGCGCTAATTTCAAATCTGCCTTTCATATCTAAATAAGGCCTTTGGAAGTTATGGACGTTATTTGCTGGAAAATTGCAAGGCTGAAGCAGCCGGAGTTGTCAAGATTGAGCATTATGAGCTCAAATCACTTACAAGGGAATGGTCAGAAATCGAAGTGGCCATTCCAGACAAGCTGTGTACCATTAGATGCAGCATGAAGCGCTCACTCTAAACCTGTTTTCCTTACCTGCTTACCGCTTTTTTGGACGAAGCTATAAGCCATTAAAGACCATTATTTTGCTAAGAAATTGTGCGTGGAATTGAAAATTTAGCCGTACAGAGCTACGTTCGCCTCAATGCTGGGCCAAAACACGCAGCTGGCTTACTTAAAATTTTTGAAGCCAGAAGCTGAGCTAAAAGTGTAACAATGTGCTCAATTTCGCTGTTTTGATGTATGATTTTTCACAATAAAATCGCTTGTAGCTTCGTCCACAGAAGCGGGAAGCAGATAAGGAAGACAGATTCTAAGTCAGTGTTTTATACTGCATCGAATGACATACAGCTTCTTTGGTTTGGCCACTTCGACTTCTGACCATTCCCTTATTAGAACTGCATACGTACTCACCTTGATGCTGACGCTTTTTGAAGGTCATCTTCCAGCCCAAAAATCGTATGAACGATTCCCAATTTTGTAGTCATTCAAAACACTGTAAGTTTTTTGATAAAAACGCCAGTAACTTCCTTTCCAATAGCGTTTTGCAGATATGGAAGGCAGATTTGATATCAGCACTCGAAGCTCTTGGTGAGTGTATGCATCTTATGATAAGTGTCCGCTTCCAGCTTGCAACCCTCGCTTGTAAGTCAACTGTTGTTTCACTTGAAGCCGATTCATGTTTGTCTTGAAGTAGAAAGTTATTTCCTACTAATCGCTGACTTTGTAACCTATTTATTCTGAACAGTCAGCCCATCACAAATACAAAGATAAGATTATTTTAGAATGCAATGATACTCGGGCCTTGGCTCTCAATTCTTATTTTAGCTGGGTGGTGGGCACTCGTTGTTGTTAATGCATGCTGAATTTTGTGCCTTAGGCAGTATACTTTGCGGAGCTTTATTATAGCACAGTTAGAATGATCAACTCAGTTTTGCATTATGAGGTCCATAAGTTTCTTTAAATCACTTTTCTAAAAACTCACGTCCTACTCCTCCGTTTGAGCATTCAAGAACCGATGGCATGATTAGGCCGACGGAACTTAATAGAAGCAAAAGAGACAACGCTTGCATGGTAGCTTTCAGATTATGAGACATGACAGATCTTGGTTCGTATTTATAATTGTTTATAAAAGAGATGAGAAAATATCGGGGAACAATGGAATGCTTAGACTGGTGGAAGATAAAAACACGAAACAACTTTTCTGTGCAGCAACCAATCCGCAATCAATGTCATTCTATACATAACGTTTGATTTGAAAAATTACGAAATTCTTTAGGGGCCTATGATATGTAAGAAATTCGTGAGAGACAAGCTGCCATGCATCCGAAATCAATCTGTTGCTGAAAAAATTAAACTGTTTCAAAGCTTGATGCTGAGCTAATGTGAGAATGGAGGAACTGCTTTACAGATTCAGTTTCGATGGCAGTAGAGTCAGTGGAAGAGAAATTGATTCCTAGTCTTCTGAGAGTGGCCTACATATTTTGAGATCAGTATCCTTAAACCTACGTTATAGAACCACAAAAATCTTGGGAAAAATTACCATAAGACTCAAACCAAAAACTTTCATCTACTCGCAAAACTCTTAAAAAAGGAAGACATATATCCCTTACTCTAAAATTGCAACCTTGGCTTTTGTGAAATTGCGATACACATAAGCTAAGTTTTATGCTGTTAACATAATAGCTGTTCTGGCTCAAAAATATTATTTACAAAATACAATGTTAGCCAATCTAATTATAAAGTCGGCGTTTAAATTTTGTAGTGTATTCTCCCGGAGTGTATACAAGCTTACAGAAACCCAAAAGTAGAATTTTGGTTCATCAGAAATTTGTCAAGTAGATTTGAAATGTCTGTTTAAGAGAGCCTTGCCTAAATCCATGTAGTTCTGACATAAAATGTTTCCTCTTGCTCCGAAAAAATTAGTCAAATTTTTGTGTTCAGAGTGAAGACACTTATTAAGAAAAGATTGGTCAAGCAACCATGTAAACTACAAAAAGAAAGATGTCTTTGCTGGGCTTACAACTATAATCGTATACAACAGCCCTCTTTGTTGCTGTCAAAATTGATAGTGAGAGAAAAGCTATGTTGTTACTAGTTACATCATTGTTATTGATGTTTCCCTATTTCCAAAACGTATTATGTTGATTTTAACGATCTTTTGTGAAATTTGTTTGGAAAATCTGGATGAAGCAAATTAATTTGAGAGGGTAGTAGGGTGGAGTCTTATTATCCAAATGTGTCTTCATGAGAGGGTGGGAGGATTCTGCAGCAAAAGCGTGGTAAATCAAAAAGAAAACTTTCTCGTAATCTCGCATGGTTTGGTTATAGCAGGGCTTTCGAATGATGCTGAATGACTTGTGAAGTTTATCGCCCTCAAGCAGTCTTCTTTTTTGAAATGCTTTTTGAAATGCAAAAATGTCCGCAAAAAAGAAGTCAGAAATTTATGTAGATATTTTTAATCACAACTAAACTTAATATTGTATCTGCCCCGGCCCACTAGTACCATAGAAAATGCGTTGCTTTGCACAAAATGTCGTAATTATTGTTGATCTCAAACTTAGAGTGCAACTCTCAATTATCAAACAGGCGTGGGTGTGAATGAGGCATTGTGTATAAAACACGCTCACTGCTGTTGACAGCACTAACAAAGATGTACCAGCTGTTGATCTTTGCGGTAAGATCACAATATTTTTTTACAAGATCATGCACTTTCTTTAGTTTCAAACAGTTTTGGCTCTGACAACTGGTGAGAAGAAGGAACTCTGTAAAACTGCCGACCGATTGGACGACGCTCCGGAAATCAACATGAGCGACCCCTACTACTACAAAAGACTTAGAGAAGTACCTATCAACACGTATTGCAACATATCTGCATCGGTTTGTGTAGAATTTCCACGTTACCACAGAGATCAATTCGTATCTGGTATAGGAAAACAAGTGTTATGGATTCGTGAATGCGAGCGAAAGATATCAGGAAGTCATTGAAGGCGCAATGAAAAAAATAAGCAAACACCGGGTCAGTTTCAAAGTCTATTCTGGTTGAGTGTGATCAGTATAGGTTGTTTAATAGTTATGTGCATTCCAAGCAAATTTTCAAGAAAGTGAGAAAACTTTCGAAAAATCAGCAAATTTGCAGAAATACGATGTTGGGTTAGAATATACTGCATTCAATGTCACCTCCGATTATGCGAACGATTTTATCAAGGAATGGCAAGAGCGAAACAAAACAGTGAAGAAAGAACTTGAAGAAATTTCAAAGCAAATTCATGAACCGCTCGAAGAAATGAAGAGAAAAGCCGAAGAGATTGATGCGAAAGGACGGCCTGCGAATATATCTAAGCATGTGAAAAAAATCCTTAAAAACGAATACCCTTCTTTTATAGTGACAGAAGTTGAGTGAGTAAATTGCTTATGTCATATCTTGGATCGCAAATCACATTTAGGCTTACTTGGCCGGTTGGATATGCTTTCCAAAAATTGGCAGATGCACTGGAAACGGACGCTAGCCAGGTTTTTCTTTCATACAAAGTATTTTAAAGTGCTACATTTTTGTCCATTTTGCAATCGAAAACTGAAAAAATGAAAAGGGGTTGTACGAGGAGGGCCGGCACCTACAACATCATGATGGAGAGACATAGTTGCGATAGTATTTACCTTGTTAGATGTCTTTTGTTTGGGGAAAAATCATTGTATGACAATTTTCTCGTACCTTTACACGGAAGCATTTCACATAAATTGTACAATGAGACAAGAAGTTTCTTCTAGCAGTATCTGAGGAGAATTATTGGAGAACCCGAGACAAAAGTAATCATCCTCCGGTCTTGCACATGCTAATAGTGCGCGGGTGAAGTTGCGTGTCATGAATGAGAAATTCCAAACTCTTTGTAAAGCAAATTTATTGGCAGGTTGCCCTTGAATGCTCATCCTATGTGCAGAGAAATATACACTGGAACCACAAACTAAAATCTACTATCCCGGTGGTTTAGTTTACGATTTACAACGGAAGATTTTTGCTCGTCACGAGTGTCATCATTGGCGAAGCTTTCAGCAAAGAGTGCTACTATGTGGTGCAGCTGTGTTTTACATTCGCAGAACTGACCATCTTAAAGGCACCGTCCACCGTCCGTCTAAGTTGAGGGTATTGCGCTTATGATAGTAGGGCCCCTACCAAGCCGATGCCCAAGTTGCGGCGCAAAATGTAGCTTCGGAAGCGAGAAATTCGCTCCGGAATAACGAAGATGCACGAGGACCTCGACGGCACCGCCCTCCCCATCCATGCCCGCCCATCCGTGCGCGCCCATCCAATCACCTTGCGGAGAACCGGCCTGCAGGTTCTCCGGGGTTGGTGTTTCCGCAGATTCTCGGTTTCATATTCGGAATCAGGGACATGAGAAGGTCCTGAAACGACAATAGCCTGGAAGTCAAGAATCTGGGTGGTCCGCGCTTAGACCTGGAAGGGCCCTAGATCCAGAAATTCAACCCCCTCTTAACCAACAAATTGGTATACTTAAGATTGCTATGTATGAGTGAACAAAACTCAGTACTGCAAACTAAGGATAAAAATACTTTGAACCACCACAAAGTTAAGGTAAGTGATTTTAAGCGCCCTACAATAATGAGGATGAATAACTCTTTACAACAACAGTTCTTCGCATTGCGCCGCTTGACACAGTTTCCGTAAAGTGCAGGGTATTTTGTGCCAGCATTACGAAGAAGAACTGCTAGCACAACTCTTAGCCCCGGCTCAACGACCTACTGACTCAACGATAGCTACTGAAGCTCTCAGTGGGGTTCAGTTCTGGTGTTCTATCTGAACGGTGGTGATCCCAGGATTTCCGTTTGGGGAAAGCGAGACGACAAAAGTTTTTTTTTTCGAATGAAAGTGTGGGGTTAGCCGCGGAAGTCGAAATTTGTGGGTATGCCTCCAAAATTTTGTCCGGCCCATGTCCCCAAGACTGTAGAGAAAGGTGCTGGCTACCGCCGTGAATAAGTTCTTTTACAAGGCTAATGAATTTCCAAAGAAATTTGAAAATTATTTTGTATTTAAGAGTATAAACAAGTCCTTTGCGCATTTTTATAACTCATGTAAAAAAACAATTTCGCGATCTATTCTCGGTCCGCCACTACTGTCCATGGAGTTTTTTGTTTAAAGTGCCCTCTTCTATCTTCCTTTGCATTTATGCTATATCAGCTTTTGTCACACCTTTGTTTAGAGGAATCTCCTCTGTCATTATTATGTTCTCAAACGATTATCCGATGCTTTTCGATTTGGACTTCCCCTTTTCTCAAAATGATGGTACAAAGTCTGCATTTCCCAATAACACTATGAATCAGCTCAAAACACTATCCATAGACGGTCTGAATTTTAAAATGTTAAGAGCAAAACGTCTATAATTCAAGAAACTGACCCAACAGTAGTTTACTTCAAATGTACAAGTAGTCGTTGATTCACCAAGTGGGTCGGCTCTATCGTCGCTTTTCTAAGCTTTTTCTCTTTCTTTTTTTTTCTAACATTCTAAGTCACTGTGGCGGTTCACATGATGTGTGTATGGAAAACTCGTCTTAAAACTCTGATTTCAATTCTACTTTCGTAAATGTCGCGGAATTTCAGGAATGTCGCGGACTTCTGCGGAATTCCCGGAATTTCGCGACATTTACGGAAGTTTTGCACATTCTGTGAGCGATATTGTACGGTCGCTATTTGCACATTTCAAAGTTTATTTGTACAAACGTCATTTATCACCGGCATAAGTAAAGGCACTTTTTTACAAATATCTCAAAAACATTCCCACTATAAATGGTTTTGGTGAATAAGAAGAGATATAGGAAATATAGAGTTATGTGTAAGAATTATAGACTTCCAGGCACTAAGCAATTCATATGGGTACGGATGCAGTTTAGCACGATTTTACACCAGTTATGCCAATAAAGGAGCAGCATTCCTTGGATGCGTGATCCGCAATGTCACATGCACTTTAGTGAAAATCAAACCATCAGAATCACGCAACGAAACGAAAGAACTTGGACATTTAGAACACTGGAGCTACAGTAGTACAGTATCCCCAGTGAATAAAGAATCTTAGATCGTTTTTTTGTTCCTTTCACCATGCCGATTTTTAATAAACGTTTTGTATTCCTGCTTATGCAGTGAAGTTTTTGCTCTTTCGTCAGCGTACCTATCTACTACGTGTCAAGAAAACACAATCTGATTTTCTCAGGTCTATGTTGGACTTTGTTTATGAAGGGGAAAACATAGGATATATCGTCCGACATTTCCCACATGTACATAGTAGATTAGGTGAGACCGAAAGTTCGTTCACCAGATACTCAAAAAATCATAACTTCTTCCCAACTCAATGGATTCTTTGGATTTATATTTATCCAAAAAAGGAATCATTGTCTCTTTACAGCATTAACTTTGCCATGAATTGGAATAGGTAACTTTGAGAGCTAGAAGCAAGTGAAGGACTCACTAAATTACTCAAGATTGGCATTTTTCAAGCAGGGTCACAAAAAAAATTCTGGAAGTATTTTTGTACGATAGAGAAGATTAGGCCTTTACTGCAGCATCTTTCCCATGAATTAAGACGAGGAAATCCGAGAGCTGGAAGCAAATAAAAAGAATTACTTTAGTTTAGCAATTTCTTGAGCATGCTCAGAAAACCTAAAAACGTCACAGATAAGACGAAAAGTCATGAACATGGGTTTTGTGACCTTCCCTTGCTAAGTGAAAATCGTCAGTCAAAAGCCATTTTTATTTCCGTAATACTTCCGGATTTTCGCGTTTGCGTTTTTTCCCTGTCGAATAAAAATACTTCATTTTTCGTAACTTTGCTCGATAAATGAAAATCTGGACTGATTTCCTGTACTTGCTTTTAACTCTCAGTCTTACTTATTCCAATCTGGCAAAGGTACAATTGTATAGAGAATGGTTTCCTCTTACAGATGAGTATAAACTCAAAGAAATCCATTGAGTCGAAAACGAGTTATGATTTTTTGAAAAACTGGCGAATAAACTTTTGGTCCCACCTAATACAAAGCTGCAAACAAGTGGCTTCAGATATAAACTAGATTTTCCTTTCTCAAAATTTGAATTAATGCAATGTCGAATGGCTTGTTTCCAGCCAAACGCAGTCACATGACAACGAATATGCATTATTTATATAAGTATCGCTTAATGAGAAAACTGAGGGGTGTATGCCAAGATGAACGATAGCTGACAATAAGCATACTGTACTCCTGCGGTTGTCAATATGTCGCACATAAAGTCTTATTTTTTGAAGCTGTATGTTCCAAACTAGATTGAAAATGGTGTCGAACAGTAAGAATCAGGGCATTCAGAGATTTCAACGTTTTTTTTCAAGTTCGAGATATCATCATAGCGTAAATATGGAATTTGAAAAAGGTTTGACCTACGCAGCGCATATGGCTGACACAACCTATCGTTCATGTTGGCTACCCCCCAAAACTGAGTAGTCTTTTGTACGCAACATCAGTTCTCGGATCTACTTTTGACACCAGGCGACTGGATCGTCAGCATGCACAGGGTGTGAAAAATATGTATGCAAGGTTTGATTGTTATCTCTCTCGCTAAAAAATCTCTCTCAAATGATTTTAGAGGCTCGGACGAAGGCGCAGAAGCAGTAGAGCGGACGCAAACTCGGCGCTCACGTATTTTCACCGTTGTAAACGCTGGGCGATTACCGAGATGTTTATGGAGAAAATGCGGCAAGCCTACGATGATGCCAATACCCTCATACTCGCGTTATCAATCTTTTAAGTTTTGGTGTGATCAGTGCGACTTACCTATCATTTTCAATAGACTTCTGCAGCTTAAAGGAATAAACTGGTCTCATTATGCAGCTTTCCCAGGGGAGCTTTTTGATATTTACCTCATTACTATAGCCGACTTCTATTTACCTGAGGCGCAAAAAAAATATTTTTAGTTTTTGATCTTTTACT